TTAGTTTATAAAACATTTTATAGCCATCTGCTGGCGGGTCTGGAGGTAGCCGCCGCATCACTATAATATAATTTACAAAACTGCACTATTCTCTTTCGCACTTATAAAAATAAGTCCAGTGATTGGAACTTTGTTAAAAATACTGAAAATAATTCAAAACAATACTTCACACACGCTTATCACACGTTTCTATTTCTTTTACACTAAGCTCCGCAATTAATTTCATGAGTACTGCGACTTACGCCACTTTCAAAATAAACATGTTTGTTATACCGTTAATTAGCAAAACTTCTCTCGAACAAATCTCAATAGTTCTCAACTTATCGATTGCAAATTTGTTTAAAATGAAAAGATACCGTTCAATTGTAATCAGTGTTACCATTAACTCGATTTTGTTGAAAAAGTCACTTATGCCACTTTCAAAATAAACGGCTCATATTTCGAAACTGTTTTAGATCGAATCTCGTTTCTGTCACAAATGCATAAAATCCGCAGTTCCCTTTTATAATAATGTTAGGTACTGTATATTTACAAATGGAAGTAATCGTAACAACTTTCAATGTTCATATTTCCTGAAAAATTATTCTGAATACTATACAGTAGTTCCTTGTTTCTTTTCAGGATAGATTATAGTCGATTAAATACATCGGATAGGTTAGCCAGATGAACGAAATGAATAGTTAACGATTAAAATCGTACTGAAACTGAAGTACGGAGAAAAAAAGTGTCTGCTAATTTATTGACTTTTAATAGTTAAATTCTATATTCTGACGTTTACTGAAATTATAGCAGTGGTAGGCTACTTGTAGGAGAAGGGATGAAGTACAACGGAACGGGTGTGGAATTACACTTTAAAAGTTTCAATTGCTTTGCGAAGAGTGAACGGCAGGGAAACTCTGATTAACGCTTGATTCATCGAGTTCCCGGTTTTCAGTGTGCACCGTTGAATAATTAATTAACGAAATCCGCAGACACGGATTTTCCTCCGTGCGTGTGATTTCACGTAATTCCGCGATACTTTCTTTGCCAATCGTAACTCTCGACGATATTTTGCCGGGAACGTTGATCCGCTTATTCGCGCGATCGGTATCCCTCATTTCCATAACAGTCACCCGTTATCTCGTTATGCAGGAAGCGCGTCGGTCGTTGGGATAACGAATAAGTGAGCATTTTACTTGTAAATTTTACGTCGTTTCTTATTGCATAGACAGGTTAACAGAGCTTGTAGCATAGCGGATAAATAATTCTGACGATGAATTTCGTCGTTCTTGCGATTACAATGTGCTTCTTTCCACGGCTGTGTTCTCTATTTCTAGGACAAATGTACCGTGAAAAATTTGGTTATTTAGGCTGATATTATTTAACTGTTTTATCAGTAATTTAAACATTGAAAAATAAAATTGAAATTAAAATACAGTGGAAATTGTCCGTGATAAACAGAGTGACTGGAGTGTTCGAATAATAAATGTTGCTTGGTAACAGTGCCAGATTTGGTTTTCATCGATTTTTATTGCAAGATTGTTTAGCGTACGGATTGCTAATTGCACGTGCAGCATGTTTGACCGGATAATTTTATATATTATTTATTGTTTATTATATTTTGTTTATTTTTCATTATTTATTATTATTATTTATTTATGTTATTATTATATTTATTTTTTATATATTAATATTTAACTACAAAATTATTACTTCGTCTCTGTTGAATTAAGAAGTACTTAAATTGCGTTCAATTAGTATTTGTACGCCTGTAACGCATTTCTCGTGAACAACAGTAAAACAATTTCCTCTATATTTTCAATATTAGAAAAACGTAGAAAAAATTCTGGACAGTCATAACAAAGAACATAATCATTTCGTGATCCACGATTATTGAATTAAACATGTCCCCTGATTACATTTACCAGCTTCATTCCTCAACATTTATTCCTGGATCACTTGGTAATCGTAAATCGTTCATTAAGAACATTATTTCCTATTAATTGTAATTATTATTACTGTAAATTATTATTACCGTAAATTATTATTATTATTATCGTAAACAGTTATTCGTACCACACTCGTCATTTACAAAATGACGTGGCAAAAGTACTGATTATCGTGGCTCGAAAGTGGCCAGTGTCCGTCCAGACTGTTTTCTGCAGCGCAAATCCTTCGTCATCAAGGCGAATATCAACGTTCCCTCCTAGAAAAGGTCTTCGAAGCGGCAAAAATATTGACTGTTGCGGCTCGAAAATGGCCGGCGAGCGGCCCATGTGCGTCGGCTCTCGATCGGATTATATTCTCCGCGCTACGATGCTACGCTAAAATCCTTCTTCGTTAAAGCGAACATCATCGTTTTCTTGTGGAAAAGTCTTCGGTATCGGGGAGGGAAAAAAGATTACGAAAGGCAACGCCGCGCCGGAACGTTGCATCGTCGACGGCGCGCCGTGAGCTGGCAGCAGGCGGAACTCCGCTCCAAGGGAGCGCGCACGTCTAACCCTCGTGCACAAGCTCCTGTTAAATGACGTCTACGTGTGCAGCCGCTGGTCGACACACGTGGATCCGCCGTGTTTCTGTGTGAATATCTAACTTTTTATCTGTACGACGGATCGCGAATGTGGATGACCACTCCATCCGCCACTGAAATATAGGTTTCTACCGGGGCACTCGCTGTTGCTCGGTTCTACGGGCACCTGAACTTCGCGCTAGTCCAACATTCCACTCGATCGAATTTCCTTCTGTGACTGTATTTTTTTTTTTATCAATTACACTGTCCGACAAAATCAAACGTTTTTCCTGGGTTCCTATGGCCACTATGAAATTCTTGTAGAGCTTCACTCCCTGAACAAGAATCCGAGAACCGAATTGCTCCATCACCCTCAGCTTTTTTAAATAAACGAACTTTTGTAAAAACCCAAAATTTTCGACAAAAATGAGGTATTGCATGAAAAGTGCAAACGTTAGAAAGTTCTAATCGGTGTTAAAAGATAGAGGAGAGTTTCCCGAATATAGTGGCATGCAATTTATTAATTGTTTTTGGTCCTAAATAGCAATGAATTGATGTCAAAGTTTAAAAAAGTGTCGACGTGCGCAGTTTCTCCGCAATATTTTTGTATTTTTACGAAAAGTTCTTTGTTCGGCACGAAAACTCTACCCAGGATCGGATTCTGTAGACATTTCTGAAGAAGAAACGGCCCGATAGAAGTGTCGGAACGATGTACATTTTGAGTAGGTCGAGAAAATGTTCGTCGGCAACATGTACACGATGTTTTGCCGCCATGTGCTTCGCTGCTCGCTTCTCTCTGTCCGACAGGGCCGAGGCTATGGGTAATCAACACCGATGGAGGGATCCAATGGGGCACCCACTTAGCGTGTGGGGCGTGCCATTTTTGTTAGTACTTCAATGCGCTGCCTTCTTTTACATATTTCTATGGATAATAATCGCCAAACTGTGAATCATAAATTAAAAATGGAGAAATAATAAAAGAAAAATAATGAACAAAAAATATTCATTTTATTCTGAATTTGTTCGAATTACAAGTATATCATGTATACATTTATCATTTAAATTATAACGATAATACGATCATGAATAAATAATCATTTTCAAAACGTTAAACTTCTTGAAACATATCGTTAAATATATATTTAAATATTTATTTAATTATATGGCGTAGAAGTCAAAATTATACTAGTGTTAGAATATATACTTTCGTTACCAATTCCAAATACTCTGGTGTGATTTTTTGTGTGAAATATATCACAGTTTGGTGATTATTATCCACAGAAATATGTAAAAAAGAAACAGAACATTGAAGTACTAAAAAAAATTCAAATATTATTTACGAAAAGTGGGTGCCCCATTGGATCCCTCTATCGGTGTTGATTACGCGTAGCTTCGGCCCTGTCGGACAGAGAGAAGCGAGCTCATTTCCGGTTTGCGAGACATTTTTGGGACACCCTGTACACATGGAAAGTGAATATACAACAAAATAAGGTACTAGTTTCGACGTGATATATGTAGAAATTAAATAAATCGTTCGACCCATCTGTTATTTATAAAATGAAATTTTGCGTGGACGAAATGATAAGACACCTTAAATATGAAATAACAAAGCATTAAAATGAAATAAAATTACATAGTTAGATGATTGAAGTGGTACAAGGTAAAGAGCAGTCCACACATTACTAAAACATAAACAAACTACGTAATTTTATTTCATTTTAATGCTTTTGTTATCTCGTATTCAAAGTGATTTATCATTTTGTCCGTACAAAATTTCATTCTTTTTTTTCGTATAAATAACAAATGGGTCGAACGATTTATTTAATTTCTACATAAATGTGAGCCGTTTATTTTGAAAGTGACATAAGCCACTTTGTTTTTAAGTCGATATATTTAAGGGTTTGCGTTTTAACACGTTTAAAAATATGGATGCTAACTTTCGAGAAGATTTACTTGTATTTGTTATCTCAGGATACTGATATTTTTCTCAGTATAAATAGTTTCGTATAAACATTAAAAAAATCACCACTTTTCATTATGGTAAAGTGACTTATGCCACTTTCAAAATAAACGGCTCATATATCGACATAATAATGTCAAAATTAGTACCTTATTTTATTGCTTATTGATTTTCCACGTATATGTACAAATAGATATTCGCACCCAAAAATCTTGAGGTGCCTCTATTATTTTTAAGAGGTTAACGATATACACATACATACTATACTTTCTACTGACTACAATTTGTGAGATGGTAATTATTCCATACAGGAGTCATCGTTATGCTCAGCTATCTGCTAAACCGGTTTTTCAAACCCCGGAAACCCCAAAACCACATCCATGCACCGTTTCTTAACTTATGTATCGAGAAGACGTGATCACGTGTATCTACAGGAAGTTGAAAAAAATACGAATCCCTGATAGCATTGTGCTAACCGAATTTTCTCCCCACTTCCGGTACCTGAAAGCTGACTTTTAACAGCAACGTTTCAAGAAAAACGCTCCCAAGTTCTTCGTATTCGTATTTTAAACTCTTTGATTTATTCCTAAAGAGCAACATGATTTTTTTCACGTCTACGTAGATCACCGCCACTTCTTCATCCTTAATAATTTCCCTAACCGAACAAGACAATTTTTTTCCTGTATGTTTTTCATCACTTTCATTTCTAAATTTTCATAACTGAACAATTTCGTTTCATAGATCACGTACGAAATCCTCATCAAGAATCTGACACGTTGTTTATAAAGCAAAGGATAGGACAATAATAGGATTTTAATTATCATATTATATATTAATAATAATAGCATTTTTTTTATTATATTATAATAATATTATTATATTAATTATATTATTATTATATATATATTTATGATATAATATTATTATTATTTTATATATATATTATTATTATTATATTAATATGAAATTATTATATTATAATTATATTCTGAAACTTAAAAATCATTTCCTACGTGACAATATGAAACGAAATTATTAGATTATATCGCTGGGGGATGATTTGTTAGTTCCACGATTGAAATTGAAATCACCATTACCATTGAATAATTCATTAACAAGTTAGAAATTGTGGACTGTAAAAAGAAATTGTAAAATTAATGTCAGGGCCTGGAGATTTACCGTATCTGGTTTCTATAGTGATCCGTGACGCGCGATGTTTCCTGGAGAATGGTGCCACCGCCGCGCACCTCTTCGTCAACGAAGATCTACCGGTCGGTGACACCGTGGGTGTCCTCGGTGTGCTGGGAGATCCGTCGCCTCAAGGTGATATCGAGCTCAGGCTCCAGGAGATAGACAGCCCTGTCGCGTTCGCGGCATATTCGAAGAACCTGTCTTTGGTCAGACCTCTTGACAAAGAGGGCGTCGACGGACCTGCCAGCGTCTACGTGAACGTCATTTGCGAGAGGAAACACACTTTGGATCCGGTAAGCATCAATTTATTGGGTCGGAAACTAAGTAATTGCCGATTTGTTCAATGAAATAAAAAGTTTTTTTTACTTGAAACGAAGTTTAATCTGTAATGTATTTTCCATTTTGTTCGATGACCTTTTGCCGTCTCTCTGACAACTTGAAAATTCCGCGCTCGTAGAAAGTCTGATCCTTTTCGGCCAAAAACTGAGTTAAGTGAGATTTTACAGCGTCATC